CTTGCCTTCGCTTTGTTTAGCACTGACTCAGTATGTCTTTTCTCCCCCATTCTCTTTAGTTTCAACCTTCCTGTAGGATTCTGTTTAGGAGTGTCTCTCCTAGAAATCCAGCATAGAGCTGGATTTATAAAAACACAGTCTGAGAGCTTTTGTGACACTTACTGTCACTAGCGTTCGGACTTGCCGCGTCATTGTATATATGCATTTTAACCTACCATGTCTTGTTACTTTTTTCATCCTGCCAAGTTTAAGAGTAGCTAATTCTCAGGAGGAAAGCGGGATGGGGAAGAAACGGAGATGACGGCTTTATCAGTACATTTTGAACGTTATATAAAGAGGCCACAACTACATTGCTTGCGTGATGACACGTGACTTTATATTTAGTAATAAAAAGGAGCGTGTTAAAGAACCAAGGGTCATGAATATACAGGGATCCGTGTGATGAATTCTTCAGGCAACGAAAGTTCCAGTCACACTTTCCTTCCCACCGCCTCCACCCGTAGACACACGCAAGACAACAACTTGATAGCAATGGGGTTTACGGAACGTGGAGTCGGCTTCGAGGAGGGTCCCTGGCCCTCTCAGTCAGCCTCATCAGAGATCGGCCCCTGAGGGCCGCGGAAAACTGCTCCCTGAGGTCCCTGGCGTGCCAGGCGGCCATCCCTCCCTCCCGGCCCCAGCCGGGCGACCTCCACGTCTGCAGAGGGCCTGATCCCCGGTGCCCCGGCCCATCGCGCTCTGCCCACCCGCCCGCCCGAGGCTCTATTGTCCTGCCAGCATTTCCTTCGCAGCTCAGTGGACATTCCGGCATCCAGGGCGTGTGTGAGGAATGCGGCGCTCGGGGCAAGCCCAGCCCGGCGCCCTCCAGCCCTGAACCGCTGCCCCCGCGCTCCTGCCCTGCCGGCCCCACCTCCACAATTTCCATCAGCCTGGATGCTGGAGCCAGGCAAGCCCTCGGAGAGGCTGGGGGCGAGGCCCCAAAAGGGCCGGGATCAGGATGCACCAGCCCCTGACCTGGGGAGTCAGGGAGAGACCCATCCTTGGCGGCTGGACCACACCTTGGGAACCATCAGGGATGACGCCCTGGGTTCAGGCGCTGCCCCTGGCAAGTCCCCTGCTGTCTCTGTGCCAGTGCCCTGCCTAGCAAAATAATCTGCCCACTCTGTCCTGCGTCCACATGAGTCCCTGTCATTCTGGGTGACTCCACATTAAGGAAGGGGTGGCTGTTGGAGGTCCCCAGTTGAAAACAGAGGAGCATGTCCTGCTACGCCTGAGGTGGATCCTGGGCACCCACAGACACCAGGTTCACTCGCCTGTCACATCCCTCCACCTGCATCCTCCCATGGGGATCGGAGTTGCCGGTGTGCAAGAATGTAATTTTAAAAAAAGCATTCCCTGGACACCTGCTGGGCTTCATGCCAGACCTTCCCACACCGCCCTCCTCCTTTAGATCCTTACAACCGTATAGGAGACGAGGACGATCACCTACACTGTACAGATGGGGAAACTGAGGCTCGGGGAGAGGAAGCAATTTACCCAGGTCACAGAAGCCAGCCAAGAAGTAGAAGCCTTTCCTTACAACCCCAAGTCTCAGGACTCTTGTGGGTTTGTAGCTGTCCCAGGTAGATATGAAGCAAAACTTCCTCCCAATACATGAGGGTCAAATCCAAAGCTCCCCGAGGGAGAAGGAGAAAGGTCTCTCTCTTCCTTGGGGGAGGAATCAGTCAAAATAGCCACAAGGCAAGAACCCCCTCCGTCCCACTCTCACCTGTGTCCAGAGGACCCTGCTTACGCCTCAAGCCACTATGCTCGGAATTTGCTGTGTGACTTAGAGCAAGTCACTTCCCTACTCTGAGCCTCTATTCCTTCAAAACAAGGGGGCTGGACTATAAGAAACTCTGGGGTCCCTTCAGTCCAGTTCCGTCCATTACTAAACCTGGTAGAGTCTCCTCTGGAAGATTCTGCTGTGTACGGGACCCCTCCCCTTTGTGGGCATGTGGGATGGAGGGGAGGGCAGACAGAGCAACGGAAAACAAGTATTTTCAAGGGACGGGAGTAAACACCACTGTTGGCATGGTGGGGCCGGTGGAGTTGCTGAACCAGAATCCTGAAACCGTTAAAAATAGGAAAAGAAACGGTACAGTTCACATATTTTGCAAAGCTAAGTTAAATCAACATCTGCAAAAAATATCCCCGTTAAATGGAATAGCAGGATTTCATTAAGTAAATTGCAAGTTGGCAAAAACTCTGAAAGAAAGGGGAAAAGCCACGGGCTGGCCTGTAATTTAAACCTTATTTTAACTGTGACAGCATGACTGCAAAGGGCTCCATTTCCAAGCGAAAGGAAAAAAATAAAATAAAACCTGAAAAAAAAATTCTTTTTTTTTTTAAAAAGGGCCTCCTGCACTCCCAGGCACGCCCCTCCCCCTAGCTTCCACGGACCCACAATATTTTCAGTAATTATAATGTTACCTAGTTTTCCCATGGATGTAACAAATGAGGGACAGAGAGAAGGGGGAGGTGTAGGGAAGAGGGAGGAAAAAGTGAGCACACAGACAAAGTCACCATTGTCACCTCTAATTAGGTTTTTTTTACCAAAATGGCTTGAAGCACAGAACTCTGGGAATCTTTCCCTTCCTCCAGGAGGCCTTTCTGTTTAACCCCACTGTGGGCTCCCCTGGCTGGAAGCCCCATGCAGAGGTAGGGGCCAAGCCCAGCCCTGTCCAGGGAGGGGGAGATGACTGCCCGGCCCCCACTGAGAGGGCCCTGCCACTCACTCAGCCCCTCACTGCGGGCAGGCTCCTCCTTCCCTGAGCCTCAGCTTTTCATCCATAAAATGGGGTGATAACCGCAGCCGGCCCGGCCAGGCTAGTGCTGGGAGACCAGCGGTGAGCCCCTTGCGAGCCACATAGTACCCACAAAGCCCAGGGATGCACCGTGGGCTCCTCCACCTGGAGCCCAGGTAGGGCCACTACTGCAGGGAAGCAGATGACTGCAGGGAGATTTCACAGACTGGCAGGCAATCACGAACAGAGCTTTTCATACGCAGGATCCTGCCCTACACCCTGTATGCAGTAGCCCATCCTCCCCCTTTGGGGTTCCCTGGGGCACCACCCAAGGATGACCTTAACATAGTAACAGTCTCAGCATAAGAGACTTGAGCAGGAAGGAATCACCTACTTGGTTCTTAAAATTTGCCTTCTTATTTAGCAGTGGAATAGCCACCACCCTCTCTCCCCCATATAGAATCTTACTGTTAATCCCAGGGTCTGAAATACGTGAAAGTACAGCTGCCCCCTCCCTCATGCTTTGGAGAAGCTCCTGAAAGACTCTGAAAACCACAGATTCAGGCTGGCTCCTCTCCTCTCCCGGTACAAAAGGGGGAACTGAGGCCCAGCAATGGTCATCAGTGACCGTGGTTTGTGGATTTCAGGGAATGCGGGGACTCTGGAAAGTGCGGCCCTGCTTGCATGTGATGGCACCTGGGAATCCACAGGGGTCTGCCTGGCACCTTCCTGTGAGCAAACAGGAATTTCTGTAAGCTCCCCAACCTGGGGGTGACCACTCAACAGGAAGGTGACTCCCAGAGCTGGGCCATGACCCTCACAGTCCTAAGGAGCTTCTGAAGAGTAAGAACAGCACTGGAACCAATAAAGACACAGCTCCTTTCCGTGCACATCTAATCGGCTGCCAGTTTCCAGAAAATCCAGAGACAGAGTGAATGAATGTGCCGTTCTTTTAGGCCCAGAGAGGGAAAGGGGCTTGCCTAAGGTCACACAGCAAGCAAACAGCAGAGGGGTACTAGGGACAAGAATAAAACAGCCTATCTCTCAAATGAACTTAAATATAAAACAGAAACAGACTCATAGACATAGCATACAAACCTGTGGTTGCCAAGGGGGAGGGGGGTGGGAAGGGACAGACTGGGAGTTCAAAGTCAAATTTGTAGATACTGACAGGTATATATAGAATGGATAAACGAGATTATACTGTACAGCACAGGGAAATATATACAAGATTTTGTGGTAGAGAAAGAATGCGACAATGAATATATGTATGTTCATGTATCACTGAAAAATTGCGCTCTACACTGGAAATTGACACAACATTGTAAACT